AGTGCTTTTAAACAAGATGGAGTCGCAGATAAAAGCACACTCTGGCCTGGCTACAGTATTCGGCGCTTGAAACGTGTCTTTGAGCAGTGTGTTTATCGTCCCAATAACCGTACATGCATCGAAAGTGGTCCCGAAGTATGTCACGAGGTTGTGTGTCATACTGTCGGACGTTGTGATCCTGGCGGGAGGGCAAAGGAGTTTCAGCAAAATAGACGAGCAGGCAGAAGTGTCGCCATTGTCGTGGTGTCCCGACGCGTGTCAGCTTTAGTTACTGTGGGTTGTCGAGCTGAAGAGTGGCGTATATCAGAGCAGTCATCTGCCAGTGTGATGTAGGGAAAAAACTGATGGAACAGAAATGAGGTTTCAATGAACACCGGTCGGAGGCTCGTTCCAGGCACCATACCTGCAGTGCTCTATAGTCATCTACAGGTCAAGAGTAAAGGGGAAGCTCTTCCCACCTCTCTCCCCGTTGGCAAAGCGAAAGCTGGAGACAAGGCAACCTTCTCTCCAGTGTTCTCTCTGCTAAAGGGGAAAGAGGTGAAAGGAGCTTCCACTTTACTCTTGACCTGCCTGCCAATGACTATAGTTAGCAGTGGATCCTGAAAACGCTGCTGGTTGACTGCAAAAGCAGGCGACCAACTTCTTATTGCAGCCAGATAACAGCCTGTTGGTCTTCTGTCCTTCTCAAGTAGGCGCCTCTTCTTTGGAGGTCGTTCGGACCGAGACAACACAAGCTATAGAGAGATAAGGCTTGCCTCATCTTATTCTTGGATGGATGCTTGTTGTATCAATAACCCCCGCAGATCGACCCATACAACTTTGAGGCAGGTGCATTTCTGGATAGAAGCAGAGTTTACCCCAATTTTTATAAATGTGTCCTGGATGCAAATACCGTGATATGTCGAGTTTTGTCCGAAAACAGAGGACCGTTTTCAGAGTTCCTGGCATTGTTTTCCTTCAAATAATTTGGATGCTTCGAATAAAATTATAGAGTGCTTGGAGGAGAGCGTTGAATTATCTTTTAAGGGTGTTGGAGGCCCTTCAGTAAATAGATCTGAACAAACACTAGATACAGGGGTGGAACGGCTGCGCCATTTGCGCCATTTTGCGCCAGACACATTTGTCTGCGCCATCCTGCGCCATTTTGCGGAATCTGCGCCGCAGCCAATGCCTCGCGCCATTATGCGCCAAATCGCACAACATGTGCCAAAAAAATTGTTTTTTGCCTTGGTTTCGGTTTTTATCGACTTGATTGGCAACAATGAGCGCGTTTAGCTTGCTCGGCCTTGCAATCCTTTGTTATGTTTATTCTCTCTGTGTATCCGAGTCGCAAGCGCACGCAAAAACTCGGCGGTCGGATTCTAAGCACTACACCATCTGCGACTGGATTGTTATTCTTCATCCATAAGCGGTTAAGCAAGTCGGCCGAGGTGGGGTCAAGTCGTTAAGCGTCGGATTGCCTGAGGCTCTGCGGCCCGGGATCCGGACGTCAGTCAGTTGAAGACACATTAGCAAAATATTCCTTTTAGTACTTCATCGTTAGAAATTGGAACCGCATTCCCGCAATATAAATCGAGATTTAAAAGAACTGAAACATGGTCCGGTCCGAAACCTTGCCGGCCAGCAGCTCTCACGCGAGTGCTAGATCTGCTCGGCATACTTTAACTTTGCTTCTGCTCATCGCTTCGAATACGATAACTCCGTTAATCGTAGTCTGCTGCTTCGACATTGAGTTACACAGTAGGATAAACTCAAAATTTGTTGCCCTGTGCCTCCGCGCAACCGCACGTCCGTTGCTTATGCACGTCACGTGGTTTGCACATATAATTTCTATGTCGAGCACGTGTGGGTTATGCGATAAGCAGTGCTGGTTTAAATTTTGACCAACTGAAAGCCAATCAGAAATTATCAAGGGCACTATCTTCAGAAACCTATGGTACTTGCTTTTTGGTTCTCATGAAGGCTCACAAAGTTTCAATTTTTCGAATCTGTTACACAGATATCCCATCTACCCACGCTTCCTAACCCCTCATGTTCATCTGTGCTGCTAAGCACAATTGAAATTGCTCTCGTGCTCGTCTAAGACACAAGCTGAAGTGCAATGAAATTTGATCTGAGCTGCCCCTAGCCTGCTCTAGAATGCAGTTTTAGCTGCTCCCAACCTGCTCCGAAACAGCTGTTTCAGCTGCTCCCGTGGCTGCTCCCAAGCACATTTAATATGTTCCACCCCTGTAGATAGTATAAATGTTCCCAATTTAAATTTATCCATGGATTTCATTTTTTAGACTTCTGTCTTTTGGCTTTGTTCATCATGACTAAAATATTTGAGGACATCTCTAACCTTTTTGCAGTCATGTGTCTCAAAGGCGTCGTAATGCAGATTAAAGGAATTTATTTCCTTTGTTAATCTCGAAGCTTGTTTACTCAAAAGGGTGGCAGCTTACTTAGTTTCCTGCAGAACAACTGTGGAAGCTATCTAGCCTGAAACAATTCTCAGTGAAAATCTTGCAGATATGTTCCTCCAATCTGGGGAATACCTGGCCTCCTTGTGCAATCGAAGCACATGCAGTTTTTCTTTTTTAAATGCCTGAAGTTTTTGTGTATTTTGTGATTTGATGTACATCTGCAAGGTATAGATACAACATTTTCCCTCTCAAGCCTCAGTAACAGTTTTCACTATGCTAATTGTAATTTTTTCACTATATTCTTCGCTTTTCCTCTGTGATAAACATACTTTTAAATGCCGTAGGAAACAACCAATTGTGGGAGGATTTAGTCAGCCCAAAAAAGATGAGAGTTTGTGTGACACATTGGTAGATTAACAAAAAAATAACAATATGCAGCCTGTCTAGCGACCAAGAAAACCACGAATTGTCAGGGAAATTTCAATTACCGGGAAAGATTGGGGAATTGTCAGGGATATTGTGTAAAAGTGAGCCGAGACAGGGAAGATGAGCCGGAAACAACATTGAGTGCCCTGAGCAAAGATTTGAAGACTTGGGGGCAGAAGAATAAGCAATAAATTCTGCTTAGAGCGGAGCGCTGGCTCTGCTCACCCGATCTAAAGTGTGCTGCCCGATGCAGAGGGAACAGCCGACAAATCCAGTCCACGCTTTGGATTGGATTGGATTGAATGCGCGACACTAGGCTAGATCCAGTTAGAGCTACTAGATGTAGTTGCAAATGAAAAGGCTGCAAACCCCAATCCTATCCAAGCCTTAAGCCGAAAGTATCCGAAAGTGTGCATTTGGCGGCCATGCTGCCATTCGGTTATTGAAGTGGGTGGTTGAGCGTCGTGTTTTCAGTCTTTCCTTTCTGGAAGTGGCCTCTTCGACAACGATGTTGGCGGCAAGAAAGTGCTTATTTAATCCGGACTGGACGAACCCAAATATTTCGGAATATGCAAGTTGGATTGAGCCCGTGCAAAATGATCCTCACAGTGCTCAAGGCTCAAATGCTTCTGTGGTAATTGTGTTATATATCGAATCGCCTAAACAGTGGTCATGGAATTCCACCTGCAATTGTCAGGGAAAACCTGGAAAAGTCGGGGAATTTCACAATAATAATTTGCTAGATACCCTGATATCTTTTTTTTTTTTTTTTTCATTCCTTTTTGTTAGTGTGGTCAAACGACTGATTGTCTACCACCCGGAAAACCAGAAATTGTAGGGGAGTTTGGTTGGTCCGAAAAAGGCGGGGGAATTTTCACCTTTATCACCGTCGGTCGAAAAAATTTAGCTTTCTTTTCCTGAGTCACAGTAAAAGACGCGTGTGTAGTGCGATACACATTTCAGGTGACCCAGCCGGCGTGCCGATGCTGTTTCTGTGTCTCTTGAACCTTAAATGCGTGCTTTAAGAACTGAAAGAGCAGTCTTTGATTGGCCAATGAGTGGTCTGTGAAACAGTGTGATCTGCCGGGTGGGGTTCCTTACTCTGGTTTGACGAAGAAGATGCTTCAGGTGGTGTATGGAGCAAACACTCTTGGAAATAGGAATTGGAGAAAATAAAGGGAGGAAGAGCTAAGGCCAACAGGAATGACTTGGAAAGAAAACATACAGCGACTTCTTTGAAGGAGCTTCAAGAAAAGGCACAGAGGCTTTCGAATGAGGCAGTGTCACCGGCCTCTCCGGTTGAAAATGAAGTAAACTCTGCAGCAGTGAAACAAAAAGAAAGTGGTTTAGTCTCATAAAACCTCAGCCGCTTTTGTAAAACTTTAATAATCTTATGACTCCATTCTTGCATTTGTCATCAACCTCAACCCTTGGGCACTTCAGTGTGTCATGGAACCAAATGTTTGTTTTGCACCTCTAACATGCTGAAATGTTGACTGTCCACTTTGAATAGCAATGTGGTGTGGGTATGCTTGTGCAGCATGCTGGCAAAGAGCTGTCATAACTTCGAACTCCATTAAGGACACGTGCATTCTACTGCACTAATGATTTTGATCATCGCTTGAGCATAAATTTTTTTTAAGGGAAATAAGGTAATGTTTTTCAGTCTTCACTTTTTTAAAAAAAGGTGTATTTTGTTTATTTGTTTTAAACTGACACTGAAACAGGTAATAATCGGCGAAAAACTCATGAAAAACTAGGAGTTCAAATATAAGGAGGAACGGAGGGTTTCAATAAAAATATCCGTAACTGGAGCAAAATTTTCCAGGAATCAATTTTCTGTTCTAATTAGTTCTTTTTTTTTTTTGTATGTTTATTAGTAATTTTTGTCTTAAACTGATTTTGTATTCTTGACACCGACGGATGCTCATCGGTGCTTTTCAGTTAAAACCGGAAAGTCTACAGCCTAATCATAGCATTGCATACGAGAGGGAGACGCACAAAAAACTGAAAACCGCTGGTGAGCGCTAACTGTATCGCCCAATTTACATTCTTGAGCTGACCAGAAATCATAATTACATCGGCCCATCGCTGTCATTATGATGACTGCGAGCCGCTGGGACGGCCATGTGGTTTGTGTGGTGGTAATGGAAGGCACGCGTGTTGCAGGCGTCGACCATCGATGGCCGGAGGAAAGGTGCCTGCCTCTTCTGCCAGGAGTACTTTATGGACCTGTACCTCCTTGCTGAGCTGAAGACCATCTCACTCAAGGTGAGCACCCCATCAAGGACTCTGCTGCCCTTTCAGGTTCAAAGACTGACCTAGAAAAAAAAGCTGATTTACACTGTATAGTACAACACTTTGCAATCTGTTGCTGGGATTGATGGTGAATGTGGAAAAAGAAAAATGGGCAAGTCAACCTTCTCATCATGTTGGTCCGCTTGCTGTCTGCACAGGTTTTGCGTGTTTGAATGAAAGAGATGAAGCTACAGTCAGAGTGAGGTGCTACCAGGCCTTGAGCTTTCAAGGCTTACAAACTCTTCAAGTTATTGTTTATTTTAAAAAGCACTCAATACTTAGGATGCAGTAATGAAAAATATTGAAATTTTGCCAGTTCTAAATACTTGCATGCATGCTGCTAGCGTCGGCCTTTCTTGGATTGCGGTTCACATGAAAGAATGACTGGGATACAAAAAAATAGACGGCATCCTACAGTTGTTTGTTAACCTAGGAGGCTGCTGCTGATCCTCATAGACAGAAGAATCCTCTTCACATATTTTAACTCCCATATTGAACTTATCGCTGCCTTACAAAAAGTATGCTTTTATTTCTTCCGGTTTTCTTGTTGCGGTGTCCATCATGAATCTGTTTTGCTAGCTGTGCCATCTGCTGGTTTTGCATATGAGAGATGTGTACTCCAAAACAATGAAAAGCCTGCAAACGCGTGTCTTCTGCACAGTTTGGTTTCAACGAAGAAACACCTGTACTTGGTTCAGGGCCGTAACCAGGGGGGAGAATGGGGGTTCTGACCCCCCCCCCCGAAATTTTTTTCTGGGTACGGCCCTGGTCGGTGCACTGGCAGCCAGCCGATTTTAATCTCCACCTCTGCGCACGCGCAGTGGCGCCGGTCGGCTACCGGGTACCAAACCGGGACCGGTTCTCCGGTTTGCTGTAACTCTCCATTATATGCCACCGATGCACATGATTCATAGGCGAAAATAAGACAATAGACACTTTCAAAATGGCCGCCGTTGTCCCCGAAACCCCCCCCCCCCCCCCCCCCCCCCCCCCGAAATTTTTTTCTGGGTACGGCCCTGACTTGGTTCCGCCTTACAATATGGATGCTACGAGCCACCCCGGCCGGTCCAGTGCCGTAAAGACGTCACGTGACTGCGCACCTTGCGAGTCACTGCATCCCAACCGGAGGTCACATGGTGCTCGCTTGGCGTTGAATTGGCTTCTTACTTTATGATTCATTGTAAGCTGTAACAGACTATAGCTACAGCAGGTCAGGGGTTGCTTGTTCAAGTTCAGTACTGAGACATTTTCTGGCAGTTTACCTCTCTGCCAAGTTTTGGAACATCATACTTAGGTAAAATGGAGCTGGGTACACCATTTTTACAATATGATATTGTAGGTGTTTCAGTTCGTAGGTGGCCAGCAGCGGCAGCGAGGTTAAGTCCTCTGCAATAAACATGGCGGATGAGCACATGTGTGGTTCCTTGACAGAGTGAACGGGAGGGTGTATACAGAGTGTATACACCCTCCCAAGAAACACTTGACCCCAGAGGCAACAAACCATTTTCGAGCCCCATCACTAAGTTTGAGGCTAGACTCTCACCGTTTTCCCTGCTAACCCTAACAGAGTGGACTGTGATTTCGATAGGCGCAGCCTGTGTAGGCGCAGTTTCAAATGCTCCTGGCAGCTAAATTTTCGCCTTTTCCTGCTGCATTTTGTGTTTCATGGTTCTGTATTCTCCCAAGAACATTAAGAAAACATTGTACCACATTTAAAAAAAAATATATATTTTTTTTTTGTTGGGTACATGCACAACAGAGCAAAAACAACTAGAATGTTAATTTTCTTTTTTACAGTAAGTTTTGAAAGCGTTGCTTGATTAGCCGCGTGTCAAACGACAAAGCGCTTAGCTGTCGAAAATAATTTACAACAGAAGATAGTCGAGAGGCGTACATTTTTCACGCTCACAAATAACGTGTTTACCGATGGACATGACACGGACATACGATTTAGCAAGTGTTAACATTCTAACAATATATTGTGTGTACCACACTACGAAGCTTTATCTGAAAAGAGTTTATTGGAAAAAGATCTCAAATAACACAGTCACGGTCGGCGACATTCACATCTTGACAATCAGACGGAATCCAAGGTGACTTCGTTTTAGGGGGAAGGGCTGGGGGAGCTTTCTTTTTCACACCAGCACCAAGGCAAAGGAACGGGCGCAACTGACTCCAACCTGAACAACTATTTTTGGCTAGGACTGTGGGAGGGGAGATAACAGTTGTCATCATTCGCAAAATCGCGTTGAGGGCTGTTCGACGTCCTTCCCTTTCCTTCATTTTCCGTGAGTTTCGAGCAAAAACGCTTGAATGGCAGGCACTTACCAGCCCTTGTTCTCTCAGTGGAAGATAACACAGAAAGGGTGCACAGCATGCATCACAAATATTAAGTGGAAACTTTCAAGAGGGGCCAGACAACGTTGAATACAAAACCGCAAAACATAGGTAGAGAATCGCTCTGAGTGGGTTTCCACAGTCCAAGAGAGTGGCAGAAAATGTCCAGCTGATAGGGGGCGCGAGAGTCGCGCCACCGCATCAGCAACATGGCGGCAGCCTAGGAGCGTTTTTTTTGGAAAGGTGTATAGGCAGTGGTTAGCTGCCTCAGATATCCACCCTCTCCATAGAGTAATTAGCGACTCTTTCACACCACCGAGGTCGGTAGTGATGCAAAACTATCGATAGTGCCGCAGAACTATTGATAGTCGACAATCAATATTCCTATCGATAGTTTTTTGATAGTCAACTATCGATAGTACTATCAATAGGTTTTTACTATCGATAGTTAGATTTCTGGCCACTATTGATACTATCGATACTACTATCGATAGCTTTGCACCACTAGAGCGAACACAGTTGCTGCACCACCGCTCACCTTCCTTCCTCCTCTCTTCGCCCAAACTCCCGTCTTTGTCATCACTGAAAGCTGAACCAAAGTTGGGATGGTAAGTGCTTTGGCTAGTTGGTGTCCCCTTTGAAAAAAATAAAGCGAGAAAGAGGTGCGGGAGGGACGCAAACTACTAGTGTCGCAAAACCATTGATAGTAAACCGTCGACAGTACTATCAATAGGTTTACGATCATTGACTATCGATAGTTTTCCAATAGTCGACTGTGGATAGTTTTTCGATAGTCGATTAACAATAATTTTGCGATAGTTGACTTTCTATATTACTATCCATAGCTTTTCAATAGTTGACTCTCAATAGTACTATCGATAGTTTTTCGATAGTCGATTATCGATAGTTTCGCACCACTGCAGCCTGGTCACCTCCATATCCTGCCACACTGAAAGGTAAATGCACCCATAGGAGGCAGTAAGTGCAGGTATGCCCGAGATTGCTCTGCGCTGAGTGCTCAACTTGTCTCACTAATCTACTACACCCCGTATCTGCACAGCCAAAGGCTGTTTTAGCACTGGTAGCACTTCAGATATGACCTTCATTTGAAGATAAGCGTTCAGTGACAGCTTGAAGCTCCGGTTGTTCAGGAACTGGGAATTGATAAAATGCAAGGTAGTGGTTCTTTGGAGAAAATGCATGGGAAGTTGTCCATTTTCGCTACAAAAGTGCACCTGAGATAATGTTTCACGGTGTATTAAAGGGTAACTGCAAAGAAAAAAAGTGTTTTTTTTAATCAACCTTATTGGGACAAGAATGTCACAAAACAGATCTTCCGCGAAAAAACAAATTTTTCTTAGCAATATTTACGCCACAGGACGTAATTTAGTCGGAGTCACAACCTCTTCACATTTAAAACTCCCGCTCTTTCGACGCGCGCGGAGTGGCTGGAATACGTGACGTATAGCCGCCACTCCGTGACTTATAATACCAACTTTGTGGCGCGCAATTTAAAACGGACGAAATAACTGCAAACTAATATCAGTCCTGCACAATAAATATTGCTGTAAAATATTTTGTTTTTGTTGGAAAAATTGTTTTGTGACATGCTTGTCCCAATTAGGCTGTTTAAAAATACACTTTTTCTTTGCAGTTACCCTTTAAGTGTTAAACCCAAATCAGAGCAAGCATTTGTTATGGTCTAGTTTTCTTGCGAACCGAAGGAAACATGTTTCGAAGCAGTTTGTCACGAGTGGCACAGTACTCAAAAACTACATTTGGTGCAGAAAATTTAAATGTGACCCTGAGGCAATAACATTAATTGATTTAGTTTTAGGGTAAATGGGCCAATCCCCTAGATTTTTAATGCCGGCAACAGGAATGTTCAGCCAACCACTGCGCTTATCCCGTGATGTGCACTGCTTATGATTGGGTCAACCAGTATGGAGATTCTGTCAAGTTTTTCATGAGCAAGGTGTATGTGTAACTGAGTTAATGCTGCCTATAACTAAACACGATTTGCATATTCAGTCGTGTTGGTGCTCAGCAGATTGTTTCAAACCTTTTTTTTTTTTTTTTTTGTCACACAAATTTGTAGAATGGGCTTCTTGCAATCATAGTTGGTCTTCTCATTATTGATGTTGAGCATAGATGTAGAAACTCTTGTATCTGTAAATAAAAACAAAAGAAAAATTGAGGCAACCTTGTGGGAAGGGAAGCCAGATCTCCGTAACGTAATCTGCAAATGTCGGCCGAAGGACATTGCACTAGAGCTAGTGCTTTCCTCCGTGCGACATTGGCGGGGTAGCCCTTCAAGATAATCCACTTGCTTTAAGGGCGACGCAGACTCAGAAAATACAACATAGCATAAAGCAAACACAATGACTTCCGTGACCGTGACGGCTGCTTCTACTTCTGTGAAACAGACTGGCTTTTCCTTTTCTTTTTGTATATTTGTCAATACTAATATAGGCAACTGTGCACAGGATGAAAGAGTATATCCTATTCTTACTTAAATCTTTATATGCTGTCTGTCCTGATGAGGGCCAATAATGAATCCTTAAATAAACAATACCTTTAAGAAGAAAAAAAAAAGTAAAAGGCAGCATATTGATGGTTTATTTTCACCCACGACATTGAGTAACATTGATCAAAGTGTATTTTCAAAGTTGCATAATGGGCAACATGGTAAATTTAGATTTCTTACTGTTTTGACATTTACTAGGCTATACACTAAACCAAAATATTTTAATTTTTATTGTATATTCTAGCACCCGCTACCTTGGCTATAGACCCTTTTCTTTGCAAATGCCACCAGGCGATGTTCTAGTCTTAGATGCCCGAGCAAACTTCCGGTTAACAAAAAGAATGACGAAAGCCCACCTTAACACCGCTGCTTGAAACGTCAATGAAACATTTAACCACCAATTCTCCAGAAGAACGCCAAAACAACCAAGAAGTGCGAGAGCTAGGGCTATTGCGGTGACTCCATCACCGCTACAAAAGGAACAATTAGGAGCATTCATCTGTGCTCACGGACGCATTGAGAATGTTCAGACCAGCACACGGTTCTCCCCAGGAATTTTGTAGGGGTGGACGTAACCACGATGGGAGTGGTGGGGGGGTAAGGGGGTAGTTTGGAATGCGGCAGTATCTGCTTGCCGACAGAACGCATTTTGCATAGGCTCTTTTTCTTTGCGCCCCTGTGAGTGCGGCCATAGCCTCCTAGTACTGACAAAGTCTAGCAGATCGCCACGAGAAGCGACCGCTGAAATGGAAAAGGTGGAGCGGCAGACAACAAATGAGAGGAGAGCCACGTGACTGGTACCCCGCTGTGGCGAGATGCCTAAACACACTTCTTCCGAGTGAACAAGTGTGTTTTGGGTTCTCGCCACTGCTAAAGTGGTGCGCTGACGTCCAGGTTCCCCGAGAAATGGCGCTTCGATGCTCTATGCTACCAAATCCTTGCGCTCCAAATCTGCGACCGGGCACTCTGTGGCTACCTCGTCGAACTGCCAGGCTTTGGTAGTATAGAGGAGGCTATGGTGGTGCCTTACCGTGGTGATAAAGCAAAATTCAAAATGCCATATGAAAAAAAAAGTGTCTGAGGAAAGTCGGGAAGCGAGGCAAGAGGCGAAGATGAATCAAGCCACGGCGCGACCAATAATTGAGCAGGGAAAGAAAATTCCTCTCGGTTTTCCGCTCTCTGCCACTCACCGCCTGCGAAGAGTTACTGCTGCGCGTTCTTTGCGTCTGCTTATTTTGTGTTCCTCGGCCGAGCACCCCTCTCATTGCCGGCAGCGCTCTGCGGCTCTGCTCTCCTTCTTTGAAAGAGTGGAGGTAGTCGGCGATGCGATAACACACGATAAGGTTGCGGTGTGCAGGCCTGCTGAGTACGATGGTCTAGAGCCATGTGCGTAGGCAAAATCGCAGTCATCCTGTTGCATAATCGAGCGGCGGGTGGTCAGTCAGAGCAATGGGCGGTCAGTCGAAGCGGTGGGCGGCAAAGCCACTGCCACACATTGTGGGGAGAACCCTGGACCAGCATTGCTAGATCACTTCTGTTGTGGAACTTCCCATAGACATATAATAGAGAGCATTAGAAACCGTGTCCTAATTTATGTAACTTTGATGCTGTGGACGTTTGGCACAGTTCGTCTGCTAACTGCAGGTTCTGCAATTCCTGTGTGCCCTAAGATGCGATGAAAGGCATATATTGTATTTACTCGAGTATTAGCTGCACTATTTATGAACAAGGCCCTTGTGTCTACTTTCTCGTAAAGCACATATACAGCCAATCATCGCATTGTGCATAAATCACATAGCGAATAACTAGATCAAGAACACAAGTCTCCACACAGATGCAACCTTCACAGATGGTATCTTCATGCAAAGACATTATCTCTGTCCTGTAAACAGCTGGAATCATGCTGTCGGTCGCGGCGATTGGCAATCCGTTTGCTCTGTGGAAAAGCAAACCCTCTGTTTTTTTTTCATAAACAGTGCGGCTATTACTCCAGTAAATACGGTAGATTTATTTTTATGCGACTGTTAATCCAGACAAATCTACCAAGAATTCGTCACGCACGTAGAGACATCTTTTTTTAACTTTAGCTGGCAAGGATTTTAAATGTGTTTTGATACCCACAGTTGTGCAAGAAATGTGTATTGAACATGATGAGAAATTTTCTAAAGCATTTCAGTGCGAATGACAGCCTCATACATTTTTAAAGTAGTTTGACATGCGGAGCCTGTGCCCCTCCCTTGCAGGTGATATGCGAAGGAACCCTACTCCAGTGCGGAGTTCAACAACTGGTTTGATTTAATGTGGGTGTTGAGAATGTTTGAACCTCCTGATGAGTCAGACTTGTCTGCCAGTTCTATGGCTAAATTTAGATGGTGGTGGATTTGCTTCGAAATTGATGGAACTTATCAATAGACATGACTGGACTAGTGAATGAGATAATTGGTCGATGTAATTTTTTGTGAAGTTACTTAATCATTAAATTTCGGTCCACCATTTTTAAACGAAAGGCTGTGCAGGCTACATGGAAGAAGTGACAACGGCTGTTGTGATTGGGAAGTATAACTTGTTCTCGATGGGTTACAAGAAGTTTGATGGTGTGAAATGAATGATGTGGAAGCTCACTCCGGGCAGAACAGAAGCAATGCACATGATGTTGTTTTCTTAGACTGCCTGCTCGACCTGCAAGTTTTGTAATGCGCGACATCATGCCACTAGTACGCATGGGGAAATATGAATGTTTAGGCATTGCCTTCATTTGCCGTTTTCTCAACAGCTAGCCTGAATTTAGGGTGATGAATAATGTGCTGGAAAGTAAAAGCCCTGGGTAGTCTGAAAATGTAGTAATCATATTTTCCAGACTATAGTCCATGGACTATACATGTTAAAAAGTTGAAATTTTACCCGATGTGAACTATACAGGTGCAGACTCTACAAGGATTTTATGAATAAGGGAGTATATCAATGTTGAGTCATGTGTGATACCACATTTCTGAGCTAATACAATGGGCATTTATCAAGATGTGCTGTGTATGATAATTCTTACGTGTGGTCTAAGCGCCATGAAAAATACTGTAATTTGGGTAGATAAAAAACCTCCGGAGCTCCCCCTTGACAAAGTGGTCCGTGCTGGGTGCAGGTCACGACAGTGGACATGCTGAAGCCCCCACCGGACTTCCGCTCCAACTTCGACTCGACGCCACCGCCGATCCTGATCGACCGGGGCAGTGCCATCCTGGAGAACGAGAAGATTGAGCGCTACATCATGAAGAACATTCCGGGGGGCCACAACCTGTTTGTGCAGGACAAGGACACTGCCACAGTCATAGAGAACCTCTACAGCGTGCGTACCACCCTTCTTCCTTCGTAGTACAGGGTGTCAGTGCGTGTTGTTATATCTTTATATCTACCGCAAAAATGAACTACGCATCGCGGAACGATCAGTGTCTACTCAGATGTAATGCTGGCGGTCCACACCAGACGACGAAGTTTCAGAGCTTGCCGTTATCGAATTCAAAGGTAAGAAGTAGGCCAGTGGCTTTCCGGTTTTAACGAGAAACACCAATAAGTGTCGGCCATTGTCTAAAATACAAAACTGGTTAAAACAAGGAAATTGTATCTGGGAATTAGTTTTTAGTTTATAGTTCGAACCTTAACTTCCTAGACTCTTGTCGGGCACTTGCTCCTGCTAGAATCGAGCAGCCTGCCAGCAGTCCCGAATCAGTGGAATCACTGACCTTGGGGGTCAGTGGCATGGAAGTCAGGTCAGTTGGTTGGTCACCACAGATGGTCACAATGTCTTCGTTCTGTTAAGGTCAGAGTGGGACGGTAGTGTGCAAAACTACATTGACGGTCATTATCGGGTGGATCTTGCAGAAGTATCAAGATGAACTTGACTTCTTCGTTGCAGAAACATCTTGCTTGAGAACAATTATTTTTCTTCACCAGACTGAGAAGGATAGGAGGATGCAAAGAAAATGCTATGCACCGGATGATTACGTTAATGAATACTCACACTTTGACTCTTGCTCGAACGCGTCCGTGGTTTGCGCATGCTGTTGCATGATGAGCCCGAAGCCTCACAAGGATGTATACAAATTGTACCTTTAACTAAAATAGTTTTTCATTAGTTTTTTTTTTAATAATCCTTATTTTTAGCATCCATGCGAAACAAAATGCCAAAATACACATATTTTTACAAAATAAATGATAGCAAAAACATTTGCCTAATTTCCTTTAAATAAACACTGGATAATATATGGCATACCATAATTCCCCCAGAGATAGCCCACCTAAAATCGATAGCAATTCTGATGAAAGTAAGGGGCCAGTCAGCAACGTTCGCTTATCTCGCGCCAGGGTTAAGTAACACAGGTTTTGCTGAGGTCACCATTGGCCAGGGCCCTGCAATTACTAGAAATGGGCTACGTTTCGGTATTTCAGAAAAAGTAGCAAATCATGCCGAAAATATTAGCTGAAAATTTCCAACAATCGCTTATAACTTAAATCTGATAAATGGCAGGCCTCGAAACTTTGACATCTAATCTGGACTGCTAGTGCTACGTTTGAGTGGAGGCCAAGCATATGACAACATGTACCAGTTCAATTTTTGGTGAGAGAGCACTTTTCAGACACCCGGTAGACACGGGGCGGGGTGTCGCAGGTTGACATTCCGCTTTACATTAAAGAGTTTAAAGGGGCAGTCAAGTGGTTTTTGAGTTCGTGTTTTGATAATGACAGCTGAATTTAGACGCCTTAAGTATCCCTAAAAACCAAAAAGTATAGTCATACGGTGATTATTTCTTTAATAAAAATGTAATTGAAGGCCGCCAAACCTCGGATCCATCCGAAAACGAAACCACTCTCATTGGTCGTCGCACGCTTATCAAAAGGATCTCGGGCCAACGGCGTTGGACGACGTTCCGTCGCGCAGTGATCCCGAGGTAGCCGCATCGGCCGAACCTCTTTGTCATTCGAGCTTCGATCATGGCGGAGTTCTCTACGCTCGAGGACCTGACGTGCCTGACGCCGTTAGAGGTTGAAGTTCTTCGGCGGACAGCCGACCTGGGGATGATTTCCTATGACGCCACTCCGACGTGCGATGTGGACGATAGCAGCGCTTCGGAGTCATGTTCGGGTTCCGAGGACGACGAAACGCAGACCTTTTCGGGCGTTCTTCGATTCGCGGTTGGGGCAAGTCGTAACCAAACCAACGTTTGACATCGCAGCGTTACCTCTGGTACGTGATGTCAAACGATGTCGCCACGTTGACTTTCGCCTCGGGAGAACGGGGGGAAGGCTGGTTCAGACATGTGCAACGAGCGCGTACCTACGGCTGCGTCCGTTGCAACCGGAACGACCGCACTCCGCCGCGCGTACACACACCTGTAACCACTACAACAAGCGCAGCGGGTCGTCAGCATGGCGACCGCTTCTGTACGCCGCCGTCAGCTGTGTCAGCGGCCGCTCTAAAAAAGGGGACGCACTGCTACTCAATGCCGTAACAGAATATAGACAGACAGTTTTCTAGTCTAAAGCTTTATTATTTTTTCTTGATAGGCTTGCAGGGTACAGCGAATGAAAAAAATAAAATAAAAAGATGCAGCGCCGTCTTGGACGATCACGACTCTAATACACGACATTGCAATAGAACAAATATCGCCACACGCCTTTTCTACGATTATAAAAGACAATGTAATCTTAGCAGCGATATAGCAACGTAGAAATATGATTTCGTGATCAGATAGACGTTGCGAGCGTTCAGGATTGCTAACCCTAATCATTTTTCTCCGGTGATGAAAACGCGTGAAAATTCGTATCCTTTATACGGTACGCGCCAGTAATACCTTGAACTTGAGCACACGCATGAAATGCGCCAAATCAGAAATCCGGGCGATGTTCGAGGACACAAATGCTTAGAAAGCACCACTGTAGTCGAAGTAAACAAACACGACGGCGCGGGCGTTTCTGCTATCTTGAGAGTGCCGCCACGACATCGCCGCACGAGTAGGTGGATGTTCCCTTCTAGTACGTGCTGGGTTATCATAGCCAAACACGACGAAAATTCACAGTCAAGGATAGCGCTTTTACGCGGAACGATGAGCTTTCACCAGGCCGTCCATTCCGACGATCACCACCGACGCCACGTTTGCGGATAGAAGGAGCCGGCCGGCCTGCAACGCGCGGAGATACGTGCGCTTCCGCGCATCCCTGGGGAACGGGAAATTCACCCCCCGCGGAGGAAGGCAAATAGAAAACGTAGTCCCTTGTTTGTGAAACGATAATTGCGCTATCGCGTATTCTAAACTAGAAATATTTTATGTCTTGTGAAATTATCATGCACAACATATTTAAATGAACTGAAAATTGTTTTTTAGCGAAACTTTAAAAAGACCGCCAAAATTTTCAAACATACGATAATTTCATTGGTCCTCGCAAGTACAGAAAAGAGTCCGCACATATTTTATTCCCGCGTGATTAATAGGCGTTTCTGCCTTCTAAAACTGAAGATACTCATTCACTGACACTTCCTTAACACCATCGCACCAAAAAGTAGCTTCTCCAAAAACCGCTTGAGTGTCCCTTTAAGACCCCTTTAGGGATTAGGTGCAACCAATCGACATCCGGATAGTCATGTTGGAACGCTGCTCTGAACCGTAAGCTCCCATCGAACAGTGGCCAATGTGACTGTGGGTTGTCTCCTCCCAGAGAGTGATTGCACTCTGGGGAAAGGACTGACAGGGTATCTAGCGACTGAAAAAAACGGGAGTTGTCAGGGAAATTTTAATTACCGGGAAAAATCGGGGAATTGACAGGGATATTGTCAAAAAGTGAGCCCAGTCAGGAAAACTGAGACGGAAACGCCATTGAGTGCCCCGAGCAAAGACTTGAGGACTTGGAGGCACAAAAATCGACAATAAATTCTACTTAAAGTGGAGCACGGCCTCTGCTCACGCAATGTAGAGTGTGCTACCCGATGCAAAGGGAACAGCCGACAAATCCAGTCCAAGCCTTGGGTTGGATTGGATTGAGGGTGTGACACTAGGCTGGATCCAGTTAGAGCTACTAGATATAGTAACAAATGGGAAAACTGCAGGCCCTAATCCAATCCAAGCCTTAAAGGGGTATGCAGGGATGTGATTGCTGCGCCAATTGTGCCAAACTGCGCCAAGGTGCTAACCCTGATACGTCCTGCTACATTTTGCCAAAATATGGGTAATCTGCGCCAAGCCTGCTTCAAGGGACCAATTTCGGTCGCTTTTCAAAACCGAAACTAAACTGAGTAACATAATTGAGCTCGCGTGAGCTAGGTGGCGCAAGCAGCTGCCCGACACAAGGTACCCTGCATCAATTGTCCATCCGGTCTTGCATGTGTTTTCCCGCTGTCTCTCGTTTCGCGCTCTTGTCGTCTCGTGGGTCTCGTCTCGCGTCTTTTTTGCTGTGTCAAAGTATTGATTACCAAGGTTTCTTTCCATGGGCTTTTACCCCCGGTGTGCAAAAAATCTGCCGTGAAAAAAGTTGGTGAAGAGAAGTGAGCTAACGCCGACAATGCAATCTCTGCACGCTGAACTCGCACAACGCACTTGTTTGTCACGAGTTCAGTTGTTGCAGAAAGCGCTCCAAGAACTTTCTGACCTTGGCTCACAGTGTCTTGTACCAATGCGCTCAGTCTTTTTTTCTGTGTGTTTAGCTTGTACCTCGCCTACCGGCCTGGCAAGCACACAGCAGAGTGGAGTGGCATGGTTTCGGTTTCGGTCGAGCAGTTGTCTCTGCTGGCGCGACGAAGCATGTTCAACTACAAAGCGCCGAAGTTGCCCTCACATGTATGCGAACATGATTGTACGACACAGGCACCAGCCTTGACGCTTGCAATAGATTTCTTTACGTTTGCTTAATTTGTGTCTCTTTCTCTCTTTGGAGGCACTGAAAGTTGGCATTCATTACTTGCCGAAGGCAAAGCGAGGCTTGCGGCAGCCTTGCAGAAAGTTCATGAAAGCAAAAAGAAAAGCACCCGCTAGTCCTAATGTGCCTTTTTCTTGTGTACAATTTCGCGTTGCTCTGCAGTAGTTACGTGTTCCATCAGTCGGACACTGCTTCAATTTATTATAGTATAAAACTAGTTGACTCAATGCTGCGATATTTACTAAGCTGGTCATTTTCAAGTAAATTTTAATATGTGCAGTTTGGTTCTTATTTATCTATAGCAGCTGCATAATTATGTATCATTTAACTGAAGCATTGCAAAATGGGCCATGTTATTGGCATTGCAGTTTGCATGTTGAATGACTCCCAGGTGGTCTAACTTGACCATAATTTGTTTATTGTGGTGAGCAAAGTGCCCTT